TCACGGCTCAGGTCCTTCAGTATCCGACAAGAATTAATGTCTGAGCAAACTGACTCACCAGAAGACTCACAGGACCTCACTGTTCGTGCATCTTGGAAGGCAGAAAGATGGCATTCCCCCAAACGGCTTTTATGCAGAGGATCTCCCAAGATTTCTTCTTTGTCTTCCCTTACTTACTTGTGTACGTAAGTGATTTTTAGCATCTCATCAGCTTTTACCAATTAATTTACAGCAAACTAAAGATTCACCTTCCTTTTTTTTGTTTTTCCCATTCCCAGTTTCATACATATTCAAGGTCACCACTGGTCGCACTGCCATAGGAAAGAGCAAACGGGAACAGGCGATTCCGAGAGCTACTGCCAAGAGAGGCCCGCTGAACTGCATGGTCATGGCATCTAACGAAGGCACCACACTTCTGTTAGAAGCTTCTGGAGTCCACAAATTGATAAAACGGCCGCGGTGTGGAACCACTAAATATACTAAGAATTAAAATCAAAGCTGTTCAAAATTAACGGATCTCAATTTTGAAGTAATCTGGTACGTACATTAATTCGATCCAGCAGTACCATGCTCAAACGCGCAAGTACCAGCCACGTTCTGGCTCTTTTATTCCTATTTCAAGTAGATACTTGACACAAACTTTGGGCTTGTAAAGACACAGCAAGGCCAACTGAATTTCAATTCCTGTGTTACTCAGGATGTTGTTCATTAAGTAACTTGCAAAGGATTCTCGGTGTTGAATAATTTCTCTGAGATCATCTCAAACACACTAACAATCAACCTTTGAAGATCTGTTAATTAGAGCAAATCACTATGGGGAAGAGCCCAGTAACTTTAGCACAGAAAAAATCCACCACTGATGTAATTAAAGCACTATGAGAACTGCAAACCTGGTTTCAACTTACAGATGAAACCATGAATACGTATCTGTCAGAACTGCTGGTAAATGACTCATGGAAATATAGTCAAGACACATTTACATTTAGGTCACCTGGAAAACATTTTTGAGGAAAACTTGTGGAAACAAATTAGGTAGAAAATAAAGCTCTCAAATTCTGCACTTTCAAGACAAAGTTTCAAGACATGGTAGACTTGATTCTTAAAAAATTATTTTGCATCGTTAAGCAAAAGAATCAATTTCTAGGAGTCAGCAGAATAAACAATCACTACCTTTTGCACTTTAACAATAGCTGAAATAATATAATGATTTTTTTGTTACAGCCCCTAAATAGGTAAATATACTCCATTCTTGAGTAATTATATACTTTGTAATCTCCTATAGCTTTTACTCGACAGGAAATAAAGGCGGAGTCACACATTCAGTTTTAACATCCATCAAGACGTCGAATGGCTGGCTGCTTTTATTTACAATGCGTTTTCAAGATAAGACTATTTTCTAATCAGTTGCTCACATTATATTTAGGATGCATTCGTGGTGACTCCAGCCATAAACTGGAAAAGGTCCATTTTGGAAGTACATAAAAAAAGTTGCCACCAGCCATTAGACTACTCATTATTTTCTAAAGATTAAGTTCTAGGAAAACAAGTTCATTACAAACAATTAAAAAAACTGAGCTGCAAACCCTGAGGAAGATGCCCAGAACATGGAGATCAGTAAACAGAATCACATCATGTCTCACAAACAGCAATATTTACTTACATTTCCGCATCTTTTCTGCCACAAGGTAAAAGACTAACAATTTAAAAAAATAATACTACACAGCTTTTAATGATTTGAACTATTCTTTTTTAAAAAAAGGTAAAAAAACCCTCAACAAAACAAACAAATGTCAAACAGGAAGACATATGAACATTTCAGCTTATTTACGTATTTCAGGTGGTTTTTGGTAGACTACCAGTGGCAAGACCACAAGAACTTTCAGTATGTGCACGTCTCCTTACTGATTTATGCAAGGAAAGACGATAACCAAAGTAAAGAACATACTTTAGTAATATCAACCGTGCTTCAGGAACTACGCTGAACACAGTTTGTAGCTGAAGGTAACTCAAATTAACTTCCGCACATTTCTACACCACCCCCTCAGCGTGGCAGCTTTGCACAGCTGCTGGTCTGCTGCTGGAACACTACCCTGAACCCGAGTTTGGAAGGCAAAGAAACGGATCCTTGCACAAGTTTCCTGCATATACTGCAGAGGAAAGTTAGAGGAAAAAAAAACACATTAACAATCCTTTACACATCTATATTCTTCCAGTTATTCTCAGGCATACAGACTCTGCTTCAGCCCTCCTGGAAGGAAACACGGCCGACCGAGCCCACTTGAACCAAATCAGCTTCCAGATGCCAGGCAGAAGGGCCCAACACTCAGCTGGGGAAGCACCCAGATACTACAAAAACGTTACAGCACACCTCGAGTAGCCTGCTCTTTCCACAGCACTGTGAAGGAAAAAACAAGGTAAGTGTCAAGAATGGTGATAAACTGCAGTAGTTAGATTAAACATTTATTTTTCATATATTCACAAAATCTTCACAAAAGTATTGAAACTCAAAAAGGAATTAGACTCGAGTCAAATACAGAGATGAAATGTACAAGACAAATGAGCAGGCAAACTAAAAGGTCTTGAAAGTATTTTACTTCAGATTGAAAAATGAACAGTTCAACTGTTCTGTTTAAATAAAGATTTGCAAGATATACAGTATTTTATGAATACAATGCTGGTCATTTGAGGTAATGTAAAATACCTCAATTTTTCCTTCATGCTTTTTTTTTTTCTCTTTTTTTCTTTTTTTTTTTTTTTCATTTAGAAAGATACTGTTTACCAAAAAGAAACTTGAGCAGTCCAGGAAAAGCTATTTTCCATTAAATTTATGAAAACCATAAATTGAGGCAAACCTAAGATTCCCAATGGAATCAAGATTATCTTCCCGCTACCACCACCTTAAAATTATCACATGCTTATTGGAACACTAATATCTGCACCCTAAGAGTACATTTGCTTTCAACGATGAGGGTGATTCTTTTAAAAACACTTCAGTGTGGTAAATGCGATACAGATCTTTGCAAGTATTAAGTTTTGGAACAGTTTTGCTAATAGCAGCTAACAATACTGGATTAATATAATTTATAAATAATTGTTCCCTAAGCGGTGAACATAAGTCTACACATTCACAATAATCTAAAACAAAATAAATACTGTGATTATGCATAATGTGGTACAACTTTTACTAGTTTCTATGAACAAAAGCTCAACATCTTGTTGATAAAATTATCTGATCAAATTGAAATATGAATCTAAAAATTTAAAAAGAAACCCAAAAACATTGTCAAATTAACATCACTTAAGCTTAGTGTCTGAGTAAATGTTACGACTTTCCATATTTTTGGAATATATATCTTTTCCTTTTTGAAGTAAAACACTTAACACATTGAAAATGTTCATTAATTTAAGTGACGACATCAGTTCTGGTCTTATTTTAGCACTGTTTTACTTTTAAAAATTGTTGCACTCATTAGTGCCCAATAAAGGTCAGGTTGGTCTGTAGTATTCTGTAAATGTATATAAAAAAAAGGTTCTAAAAGCTAATAGTACTTTTTATAAAAGCATCATCTCCAGAACAGCTGCATTAAATACAGCCACATGTGCCAAGTACAGACTTTCCTCTTTAAAGAAACATGTGAAAGTAAATGCCACTCGACTTTCTGCCACTGAAGTGTCCCAACTCCTGTTCCAAGCTATGCCTGTGAGCGTAATTACACATTTCATTTGCATCCACGGCACCAAAGTTACTGCAACCTAGACTCGGAACGCGACTGAACCAGAAAAACGCGGAGTTTAAATTAAGTGATAACCGGGTCAGTGAAGAAGTACTATGACATATGAAAGGTTTGGGTCTTTAAGGCAATACAAAATATATTTCATTATTTGAAGTTGTTTGTTTGTGGTTTTTTCTTTAAAGAATTAAGTGTAAATATAAAAATGCCTAAGAGGGGAGTGAGAAAAAAATACTTTAATTGTAAAATTTACTTAAAGTTTCAACAGTTACCATCTCCTACAGGAGTTAGCAAAAATATAAAAGACAAAAAAAACCCAGACCTGGAAGAGCAAGGGAAGGCACAAACAAAGAGGCATGAGATTAAAGCAGCCCAGGAATGCAAACATCTGTAACAAACTGAGTTTTGTTGTTTGGTTTTTTTAAAACAAAAAAAAAGAAGAAGAAAACAATCACCACCCCCAACCAAACAAAAAAACCCCAAGTGGCTTTATATTTCTTTAAAAAAAAGAAAGGGTCAGGAGAGACCACTAAGGAAGAGAAGGATGCAACTATAAAACCCTGTTGCCTGAAACAATGGCACTCTAGAAAACAAGGTGAAGGTTACTTCTCCAAGATGACAAGCTTAGTGTCTACACAAAGTACACGTACACTTTATACAAATGAAAAACTTCATTTGCCACCATAAACCTTTCTTTCAGAGGAACAGCTTTTGCAGATCAAATGCTCTACTAAAACTTTTAAATGCCAAGGAAAGAAATTTTGAGCAATATAACCAGTAATGTCTCTTTATATGGATGTTAAGATGACAATTCAGATTATTTTCCAAACTAATCCTGAGAAAAATTTATGTTTACAATTTAAACAGTAATGTTATGTAAAAAGTATTAACAAATCCACTATTACAAATGTCAGTTTTCCTATATGGTCATCTATATATACACAATAAAATGGTAAGTATATGCAAAAATAATAAAAAAATCATGCACAAATTACTTTCACCTTTAAAGGCTGGGTTTCCCTCAAAATACAATTTTTTGCCTTTTTTTTTTTTTCCTATTTTTTGTGGTTTATTTGTTTGTTACCACCCCCTAGACACACTGAGTACTACCCCTACAGGTCAGCATGAGCTGATGGGAAATACATTTATTTTACATTCAAGCTTTTATATCCTAAATGACCCTGTTGTAGCATATGACTTATCAAATGAGCAGCCTTTTTCCTCCTTTAAATTTTTTTTCTTTTTAAAAGTTTTTCTTTTTTTTTTCTTTTTTTTTTTTCTTTTTTTCTTTTTTTTTTTTTTGCAGTGATCAATCTTCATGATCCGTTCCGTGGCGAGCTGGGAAAAAAAAAATGCAGTTGCTAATCAATGTCTGAACAGTCTGAAGCTCCGGAAGAGATCCAAGGAGTCACTATCAAACTATCCTGTAGCATGAGATCATTGCACACAGAAGAACAGTCATAAAATAGGCAACTATCTACAAAGGTCTGAAAGGGCCGCATCCCTCTTGTGTTTCCTCTTTTTGCCGTGGAAAAACTGATGGTGTGATTTGCTGCCTTGATGTTGTTTGTTTGTGACTGAGGTACCGTGGCTTGAGTTTGTTGGACCTTGGAAGCCTTTGTTAGAAGAGCGAAATAACCGTGCAGATCCATGCTGTGAAAGAAAGAGAACGTGGTGCATCAGTGCTAAAAAGCAAACAGCGTGGCAATTACACAGGCTTACTTCTGGGTAACGAGCATGTTAACTGATGGAAGTGTGGCACTTGAAAAAATTGATACGGCAACAGCAGCCAGGCCATTGCTTAGGCAGCAGCACACCACCACCAACCTCCCACTCCGGTGGTTGCAAACAAACGTTCGTCTCTAGACCCGAAGCCAGGCAGGTCAAAAGGGAAGAGCAGGCCGCTCTGAATTTTGAAAAGGACAGAACTGACCTATCGCTCCCACTTTGTAACCATCAAAAAAGTGTTACAGAAACATAGGTCCATAATCCAAGACGACAGATGAAGATTGCTCAATCTCATCTTCTGTGCAACATTAAGACAATATTCTTTTAAGAGCAGGACTATTCTATACCACATCCTTTTACAGATGCAGAGTATCTCAGATTGTGCATATTCTCATTTCAGCACCAGAATTAGCTCTGTGCAACACCACAAACACACATCCATGGTATAGTCACGGCCTGGTTTGTGAAGTGCCTTGTTACTAGCTAGAGGCAGATCATCAGCAAGTAGGATGCAGCAAGTCTGCAGAATTACTTTTCAGGAATCATGTTCCAGAAGATTCCAGACTATTTTTCATACATTACAGAAGTCCTAAATTCTGAAAAAGCATAAAAATTTAAACTGTGTATATCCAAAGTATATTGTACACAGAGGCATACAATATTTCCAGGTTACTGAGTTGTCACAGAAGCATTCCTCAACATTGAGAAATCCCCTAAATGCGTAAGCACTGATAGGTCTCACCATAAAGATCTTTGTTTCTAGGGATAAATGAGAGGGAATTTCATGTATCAGCAAGGTATCTTCATCTCCCTTAATGAAAGACAGTTCAACAACTATCAACAGCTAACAGAGCAGCCAGTCGTAGTTTTAAACATACATGTTGCTAACTGTTTTTCATAAAGCATAGGCAAGCCTCATTAGTTCCCAAATTCTGCAGTCAAAACCAGACTGGAGCTCTTTTTGCAAAAAGGAAATGGGTGCAACACAACTGTGTAATTCTGGCAAATCTAGATTTCCCAAAATAAAGTCAATCCAATTTCATCTGTATTAAGTCTGGGAAAGCCACTGTTGTGAACTCCTCTCTGTAAGCTAAACAGAGAACCAGATGATTTTAGATACTGTCAGCGCTCAAAGCTTTTTAGTGGGGTAAAGAGGACGAAAAAACCACAGTGTTTGCTTTCCAGAAGAAGCTACCATTCCATTGAGGACATGTAATATTCAAATAATCTATACAGCTGTTGTTTTCAAACATTCCACAAACCTGAGATTTGTTCGTGTTGCTGGATGTATTTGCTGTTTGGCTATTTTGTGTTTTCCCACTTGACTGGGAGGATTCCAGTGACACTTCTTGTGACCCCACTCTGTTTGTGGTAGACTGACGACAACTCAACTGTTTAGAGGTTTTGCAAGGTGTTCCATCAGAATCCTTCAGGAAAATGTAAAGTATTAGTGAGTCTTTCTTAAGAGTGAGTGAGCTTTTCTACAAGTGAATTTTCCCTTAAAAATAAAGCTAGCAGTGGACAAAACTTAACATGTTTATTTCATTACATATTGAAATTCTTCCAATCCAGAATTCTTACTAAGTAAAACAGAGAGATTTAAAAATGTATCGATGCACGATTCTGATTTTGGGATTTGCCTTTTAAATAGAATTCCCAAACAGATTTTTTTTTTTTTAAGTATATGGCTTAGGACTACTAGTCTGTCTTTTGGAAATACAGTTTTCCCAGAGAAAAAAGAGTGCTATGTAACTTTGTATCTACTGTATTCACTTTCTACATGTGTTGTGTCAAAGCACACTACAACTCACATGTGTAGAAATTGCGTAAGAGGTAACATCTTATGCAAGTTAGGATTCCGGATGAAATAACTAACTAAGATTCTGAGCTTTCCAATTGTATTCTGTGGCAATACAAATCAGGAAAAAAAAAACAACAAAGAAACTGAAAAAACAAATTCAGAAACCTCCAGTACTTACTACATCACTAGAGCTGGACAGTGTAGAAGATGACGATGATAAAGGACCTGATGAAGAATTTGAAGAATGTTTACTAAGTGTTTCTGAAGTTTTATTTCTAGGTTTTCCCAGTGCTTCATTTTCTTCAGCAAGATTATTGTTGCGTTTGTCTAGCTGCTGAGTGTCTACTATCAAGGTTACTCCATTGCCTATTAAAAGCAAAACAGAAGCATCACCACACATTAAACACTAAAATATGTTGCTTTTTTTTTTCCCCAGACATACCCACTCAGGTATTTTCAGCAGGACACGTACAGACACCTGGGCACGCACATACTATTCAGACACGCAGGCACGCGTGTGCACGTGTTTGTGTGCCGGTACTGCACGCAGCCAGCCAACACCTCGCAGAGCGTGCGGTGGTTTCCTGACAACATCCATCAATGTACGCTATGAAACCCACAGAGTGTTTCCCACACCTCCAGATGGAAATTGGAGAGAAAAGACATGGAAGAAGGTAGTAACAGAGCTCAGATGTGCTGCTTATAACATGACACACTTCAACAGCACTCAAATACATAGGTTTAAATTCCGTTCCTCTATGTCCAATACTCAGCATCTCTCATTTTTCTTCTGCTGGAGCTGCTAGGGTCAGAATTCCAAATTAAGTCTGGTTGCTTTGTATGATACCCTACACCGAAAATACAAGATACAGAATTCTCGTATCTCACTTACTGCTACCTTAATAAAAAAATAATAATTGGAACTTAACTCTGAACTAAATCTACAAGACAACCACTGTAACTGTCACCATTATTTTCCTGACACAGGGCTTTGTTCATTTGTTTTTTAATTATGTTTTATCTCACATGATGTAGGAGTCGCCTCTGATTTATATAATATACATTTGTTGCCCCACTAGCTGTATTTATATAGAGTTTAATAAATGCATCACAATATAGAGGTGAGTATTTCTCTGGAGCTTGCAGGACAGAACCGCGGTTGTGTGCCACTGCCAGGGGTACGGCACTGCCACTGCCAGGGGTACGGCACTGCCACTGCCAGGGGTACGGCACTGCCACTGGGGTCTACAGACGGATGAAACACCAATGGCCAGGATGCACATTCAATTTACTACGACAGTGAGGGAAATCACTAACAAAGGCTTTAAAAACAAATAAACAAAATCCCAACCTAGCCTCAAGACTGGGTAGTTGTGTCACCTCTGATTAATCCCTAACCAGAGAAGACTTCTAGTAGATAACATTCTAAAATTAATTGGAGAGTAACAGAATCAATTTCCATTTGAAAACTTCCAGCCAGCAGATACACCTACACCAAAAGAGGTGGCAGCCGGCTGGTAGAGTCAGAAAATGGGCAATGAAAATAAAGATGATTTTAAAGGACATTTTCAGTAAGTTCTCTGGCTAGATTTTATGTGTTTCCATTTGTTAGTAACAAGAATTATGGTTGATATTTCAGGATTTCTCTGTTTTAAATACCTACTCCACTTATGTGGTCAATTCTGGTTTAAATATTGCTTCTGCACATATACAACATGTTAAACTTTAAAATGAACACTGGAAGGTAAGGATTTAGATTTAAACTATCATTTCCAGTAATTCTTGTTAAAACCTTGTCCACATTTAAAGGACAAAGGAAGTGTGACAGTAACAACACATGTAATTTATATCAGAAGTTTTTCAAGAGGCTCTTTTTGCAAGCCAGCATTCCTTACAGCCCTCTATGCTGACCAAATCTATCGCAGTAGAATAAAGATGTTGCAGTATAGCCTCTTTATTCTTGTGTTCTCATCGAGAAAAATCTGAATTTTCTCAATGAGAACACAAGAAAAAGCCCATCACTACTGAGAAAAAGAGTGAACTCGTATTAAGATGCATACATTGCCTCAGGTGGGGCAAAAGCAACAATAAAATTTGCATGACCCAAACATGCAGGAAGTTTCCCACTATCAGCCACGCTTAGTCAAAACTCACCATTACACGAAGACTCTGTCCTGCTTTGCATTCCCCACTGCTTTGATATCCAGTCTCTGTACGTGGCCACTTCTTGTGTTACTCTAATTATTCTACCTAATATACTGTTAACCAGGAAAAAAAAAGAAAAACAAAACAAAACACATCATCACAATTAATTTTTCGGTACACAAAAATATAAGCAATTAATGTCTGATATTAAGACTCATAAAATTTACCTTTCTGTTTCATTGTTAGGATAATATTTAGCTATTGGGGAAACCGCATGACTCAGAACAACATAGGCATAATCAAAAGCCTGCTTCACTTGCATGGCACCGTATGAACTCCTCCCAACGTCGTTACCTTAAAATAAGAATACAATTAAATAAATAAGTAAGATTGAAACGGTGGTTAACTCCTTTCAAACAGGAGACGGGAATATTTTTTTAAATTGCCCTAACGTCCCAACTCACTGCAGTTACTTCTTGTGGAACAGGATTAGTGAATCCTAGATATTTGAAGACCTACAGATATTTACATGTGCGAAGTCCAAAATGGCAAACCTCTGGGAAAAAGTGCAATACATGAAAAAAAGAGTACAATCATGGACTGCATATTTTACATATCTAACAGTACTATCCTGGGCAATGGCTTTTAGATCAGAAACACGTTAACTCTCTTCTATGAGCAGCCCTTGACTGACCATTCCAGAAGCCACCCATTCGAGCCAACAGTCAAGCCCTAACATAAAGGTAACAGCACAGAACGAAACCGCCGCGTCTTTGTGCGACTTACAGAATCGAGCAGGAGGGCGCGCCTAAGAGCGCACGGACGCAGAGCGCGCCAAGAGCGCACGGACACTACACGGTCCAACCAACACGGGCAAGCGCAAGCTCGGAAGGGACCACGCGTGCACACGGAGCCCGCGCTCGGGCCCGCGCTGCGGGAGCTTTGTTGCTGTTACCACAGAGCACATGACGGTTGGTTGGCCCCTCTCATATCCTACCTCCTGACTGCAGTACAGGCATGCCCTTTGATGACATGGTAACTTTTTCCAGGAACATGCCTTAAAGAAAATCCCTGTGTTCTGAGTGCATCCTGAGTCCATAGACATGAATGACGTGTTTCCACATGGGTTTTGGTGGTCATTTGAGCTATTTTTTGATTTAACTCCGCTGGATTAAGCATTCCCCTAACTTTTTTTCTTAGCCAATACATTAAATCTCGGTTTATGAGTTTACCTGGCTGTAATGGATCTTCAATATACAGCATTGATGGTCTGTAGCCATCCAGCATGCTTTTTTGCACTTCATCCTTGGCAACATAAGAACCACCATCCTTTATTCGGATTCCAGTCTTCAGATAATTGAAGTGACGTCCATACAATTCAAAAAACTCTATTAAAAGAACACCATAGTTGGCATTGGGCATACAGGCATCTTCCCTGGGATGAAGCTATTAAGGAGAGAAAAAAAAAATCATTTTCTTAAGAGTTCAAGTTTCAAGTGTCTTTAAGTGCCTTTTCTTTTTCACAGTATTCTTTAAATACAATAAATAATAATAATAATAAAACATAATATATAAAGTAAACATGTCTAAATATAATATTTTCCTTGATAAAGCAGTTTTGCATCTTTAAAAGAAGATGCTGTCAAAACTTTATAATATAAACTAATTACCTCGTAACAATAAGGTTGGCAAGTATTAATGTTTTTGTATTTGAACTTTCAGTTCAGTAAAAGAGCTTCTAGCATTAATGGCAGGGTTCTTGTAAAAAAGCAAAGATATTTGCACTTCACAAACCTGGGTTTGCAATACAAATACAGGCTTTTAACGTACACAGCTATATAAATGACCCCCCCTACTGTTAAGTACGCAGCCTGAGAGATTATGCACAAAACCAGTTCATAACTGTACGAGATACAAAACGTGAATCCTTTTTTGTCAGAAGCAAATGGAAATGCTATTAGTCAATATAAGAAAAAACAGGGGTTGGGAGATATTTTGGTTTCTTTCAAAACATAGGCCTCTTGCCTTCATTTCTTTTGTGCTCAGCAGGCAACTGCAATAGCACTCAGCAAACACTGAGCTCCAGTTCAAGGCTCACGTTTAAAAGTAACTACAATCTGGAACAGTACAGACATACACATAAACACTCAGTTATATAATAACATTTAGCACAAGAGAAAGAATGGGGTTGATAAAGCCAGAACTTGGCTACTTCACATTTCTACAATATTTTTCTCCCCCAGGCAGAACAATATAGATTTAGCTCATGCATTTTGTTCTCTTAGATTTAAGACAAAGTTGTAAAACATTTATTTGATACCAGCTTTAAAACTTAGACAAACAAGCAAAATTTTGTTGCATACATTAAAGCACAAACAGGGTGTATGACCTGGGAAAGTGTTAACAGCTGCATTTAACACTAACCTATGCAGCTTGTTCCAATCAAGTTACACAATAGTCATTCTGCCCTAAATGACACATGTGCCTGGTACTGATACACCATCGAATTGTTCCAAACATCACTAATACCAAAAGTACCAGTATGGGAGAAGGAACAGAAGACAGGTGGGATGTGTCTATTTTTAAACGAAAACAGGGTGCAAAACCACAAACAGGAGATCTTAAATTATTAAATTTAAGGATTGATTAAATTCCTTCTTAATGTAATGTCCCATTGCACTAATGGCATCAACAGGTTTCATTAAGCTTACCTGAAGGAAACTGACAGCCATTAAAAAAAGACTATAAGAACCGATTCCACCTGTAAATACTTCATTAAGGTCCCTCTGCAACAGGAACTGTTTCAATACTAAAACTAGATATGGTAATACAGGATATTTCTGCAAGAGAAAAACAAAGGTGTTAGGATACTGTGATGCATATATACAATTAATGCTAAGAAAGCATATTAAAGCTATCTGTTATATTAAGTTTCAAAGTCAAGTATAACTCTAACTTACTATGTTTAGCAACAAGGGAGAAGCCAAGTGCTCTGCCTGCAATCAAGACAGTTATTTTACCTCTTCAACTCCAGTGCCAGATATTAACAACAGAAAAAAAAATTACTACCTCATAAAATCAGAATGATTTTGTCTGAATAAATACACTTGCTTTTCCCAAAGAAGTGAAAAGAAAAGCAAAGGAAAACTATGTAGATATCTGCGTCTGTAACAACATCTTCCTGCTACAAGTAAGGGGATATCCCAAAGCAGACTGACACTTCCATCCTGCAAGTACTTCAGACGCTCAGAGGTCAAAACAGTTCTTCAGAATTACTATACCCAGATAACATTTTCAAAGGAGCCAAATACTTACCTTTGGGTAACTGATCCTTCAATAGGTTTGTTCACATGGGTTCCCTTAGAGGCACGCATACGCCGCACGTGCAGAGAACATGGACCTTTTGGACAGCAGTGGAGGCTGGGGCTACGCCTGCACTCTGTACACCCCCTCACAGGGGAGGGGGCAAGAGAGGCTTGATAATATCACTCCTTTTATCAACACAAGAGCTAAAAAGTTCCTTAGTCAGAGAAGAGATGTGGATCATGGTATCTGTGATTGCAAAAGATTAAAGGGAAAGAAGAATTTCTCCAAGAACTTCTCTGCACGAGTCTTACAGTGAGTATTGGAAGCCCTATTTAACCGAGGATCACTTTTTTGAATTTAATATTAGGAACTTACAGTCACAAGCTGAAGTGTTGAACATCAGTATATACCAAAATTCAAAGACAGGATTTTTCTCAGGAATCTGCAAACCCTTAACTAAGGCTTCAGCTGCCTCAGACTTCCTAAATAGACTGGATGAAGAGAAAGAGGCATTTCCAAGGATAACACTGGACACAACACCTCCGTGAGGCATTCAAAGTTTCCTGGGACAACGTAAGACGCAAGAGAATGCCCTGCGTGTGTTTTAGAGAGAGATCCCAAGAACACCGAAGCAGTCACCTGGCTGAAAGACACCAAGTTTTCTCCAAGCTAAACAAACGTCCCCCCCCAGTAGTGGAGCCTTTTGTCAGGTCCGATGCCACCTCTCCCCTGCCACACCGGGCTCAGCCGCCCGTGCCCAAGGCCAGCTCCAGTGTAGCACAGCTGCACGGCCTTGGCATGGGCTGCTGGCACAACAGCCGTGTGGGAAAGCGCCATGCGGGAAGCCTGGCTGGGAGTCAGCCCGCTTCGCTCGAGAGTTGCTCTTCATCTCCGCTGTTCCCGCGGTGTCTGCCTGAGCCACGCTGCTGCGCACGGATGCTGACCCTGACCCTGACCACTGACTTGTGTCCTCAGCCTCCACCTCCTCTCTGGGGACTCGTCTGCCCGCGGCTGGCCCGGCCGTGCGC